CAATCAGTAGCTTCGGCAGAATGTAACTAATTAACTGGTATTTAGTATTTACATGATTTTCAGCTTGTTTCTAGCCTGTCTTTCACTCTCATGTTTTGAGTTTTTCTGTAGAAATGTTTTTTCCAGCAGTTCTTCAACTCAGTGGCCAAAGTTGACTATCTTACTCTGCGCCATGGTTTCATCTCAGTAAGCACCTTGCTAATTCTGTCTTCTCTCCTTTTTTTCTTTCAAAAATAGTCATTAGTAACTTGATAATGGGTCTTTCTTCTCAAATACTTTGCCCTTAATATTTTGTTTACTAATTTCGCAGGCACATTTATCCTCAAATAGTTCCTTCAACTTCCAGAGATACATACAGAGATCATTAGATGATGATTTCAAAGTCGTAGTTGGCATCAGGTTGTGATGAATTTACATACAAACACTCTACGTCCTGCTACCCTTAAATTTTCATGTGGTATATTTAACCCTTTCTATATTTCGTGAATAGCCCTTTAATGTGGTTACTAGTAGTCGTCTTCATGCTTGCTGATGTTCGTGGTCAGTACAAATTTCTCCATACATTATGCATCCCTTTCCTTTTTCCATAAACTATTAGATTCTAGACATTTACTTAGAATTTCTGAACATGGACAGGTTTGAATGTGTATCTCTGGGTATCATTTCTCCCACTGATTGTATGTATTGAAGATTCAGAATTTGTTCCTTTTTTCCTCGTAACATGATAACAAGCTCATTCTAGTTAAGAGCATTAACAGCACCATCATATTCATATGCAATTTTTCCAGATAGTGTTGGTTCTCGGAACCAAGCTTCAAGTAATTGTTGCAAGAATGGCACTTCAAATCCAAGATCAGGGTAGCATAATCAAAGGAGCCCCTTTGGTACAACCCAATGACGATCTCTTCTGGTTCAGTCACCCGAATTTTGTCTTGACCCTTTTGCATTACACTTTGTTTATGGTAATCCCTCCTAATTCCCCAAAAAATGATTCTATTCTTTGTAATTAATTAGGCATGGCTGCTCAACTAATCTTACTAATTTCATCCTTCTCAGAATGCATTTGAGTTATCATTCTTCATTTGGGTCACCGTAAGTATGACACCTTTATTTCTCTAGTTCAAGTTTTTGATATATGTAAACAGATCTCTCTTTCCGTTTGTTTGTTTGTTTTCTTTTCTTTTTTTTTTTCTTTTTTTTTTTTCAGTGGCAATTTGGGATAAAATCTTGCTATCATGAGCACATAGAACTCATTGTTATAAGGGTTGTATTAGCGTAAGTACCGTTGCTTCTGCTTTCCATAGAACTTAAACCAAAACACATAGGAATACTGAAATGTGAAGTATGATTTTGTGTTTTTATAGGGTGACAGTTCAAGTCATGTGCAGTTACATTACTCTTCCTCTTTATGCTCTTGTGACTCAGGTATATATATGTCTTTCCACTGCTAATGATTAATCACTATCTCTAACTTGAAATACAAGTTAATTAGATTTGAGTAGGCATTTAGTGTTAAGTAAGGACTCTTATTTCACCTCAGGGGATCAATCAGCTGAGCATCTTCATTTGTGTCTTGGCAGTTATGCAAATTGTCTACAGTGTTATTACAATGGCTTTAGGAAGGGCCAAGGTATTTATTGTAAAATGAGTTAAGATTGATGCAATTCAGGAAAAGGAAGCACTTCTCGACATAGATTTACTATGTTTTACTATATTTTTGTCTGTTTGAAATTTTTGTATGTTGATGTATAATCGTAGATGAGGCGATGGGAAGCTTGGGAGAAGGAGACACAGACTGTAGAGTACCAGATTTCTAATGGTAAGTAAGATACTCAAAAATTTGCCTAAAGAGAGTAGCATTTGTTGTCCGGGGAACATCAGGAATTAAGGATGGTCCAACTAGCCATTATACCTTCTTTTTACTTTTGTTCTTTGTAATTGGGAAGGTGACTCAGCTAGCAAGGTGTTTCTTTTACTAACTGGAAAATCTTCTTAAATTTAATGAAGGTGAATATTTATACATCATCATTGTATTAGACCATCTTAATTAGTCTTTGAT